CCTGCTGGTTCACACCAGCAGGACCCCTAATAAAGACTGTTACTGGGAGGGGGGCAGTACCCAACTTGGAAGGTACTGAATACACGCAAGCGGGGCCGGGAGCCTGAAGCCGAAGTTTGGGGATGATCCTCTTGGGGGGGGCTTCTTGACAAGGGGTCGGTTATTCTTAAAGGTTTTAGGGTTTGGGTTTAGGATTTAGGATTTAGAGTTTAGGATTTAGGGTTTAGGTTTTAGGGTTTAGGTTTTAGGGTTTCGGTTTTAGGGTTTAGGATTTAGGGTTTAGTTTTTTTGGCTTTGGGGTTTAGGGTTTTGGGTTGTTAGGTTGTTATGAAAGGTACTATTACGGTTGGTCATGATTATAAGTGCATTTGTCAGTGTAACGAAGGTAAGAATTGTTCTTGTTCTTGTTGATGTTACTATTGTGATACTTCTTATCGTTTTTCTTATGTTGAGCAATAGGGCTAAGAATGATAGTACTTTTGCTATCGTTTTTTATTTGCATTATTGCAGGGGTCAGTAAAAGATGACGGGTTGTAGGCTAAACTTGTGAGAACTTACTTCTTAGGGCTTTTAGAGTTTTGGTCATTTAGGGATTATGTTGGGCCCTCATACAGCAACAGTCCGCCGAAGGGTTAAGTGTGGGCATTTTATGGCTGGGCTAATGCAAACAGATGCTGATTGTGGGGTTCCTACACCTATAGAGTTTATTGGGATTATATCTGGGTTAGATCTAGATAAAGGTACTCATTGGGGTAATATTCGGGTTATGTTGGGGTTAGATGGGTATACTGGAAAAGAAAATGGAAACTACTAGTGCAAGATTCCCTCCATCCACCCCAACCCTAAACCCTTAACCCTAAACCCTAATGTATGGCTTCCCGTGGACGGCCTTCACGTGCTCAAGGGTTTTAGGTTAGATACAAGGGGTACGGACTGCATGGGGTCATGAATCATTTAAGGTACTTTGAGAGCAAGGTAAACAGGTAAACTTTTGTAGATTCATTTGGCTACGTCGAGAGTATCGGGCTCAAGTAGTCGTTTGGGTTTGATTTAGCCTTGTTAAAGTTTAGGGTTGCAAGGTGGCTGAGCTTTGGGATAAGATCCCTGAAGGGTAAACGTAGGATGTCAGATCCGAATGCTCTGGTTCCAAGTGCGAGATCTGGGTCAAGGCACTTACGAGAAGTGTTTTAGAATTTTCTTGGAGCTATTGCAGGCAAGTAAGAGAACAAGTAGCAACTAACAGCTAGATGTCATCGCTAGGGCTTCTCATTGTAAGGACCCAAACAGCTGAGCTTTCATGTCCCCGCCAGAGTTCTGGAGATCATCGAGCGTAGCTTTGTCAGTGGCCTCATGGGGGGTTTGCAGAGGATGGTCTTTCTCAAGTATCAGATACGAACCCTGTACAATGAGTTCAACCCTAACCTAAACCTTAGGTGAGGGCTCCAGGCCTCCAGGCCGCACCCGTGGCTAGGAATATAGTGGGAGCCTTGCATAACTATTTTCATCCCTTGTGGTCGCGATTCGTGGGCCTGCGTGTAGGGTGCGGGGTTCAATTTTGATGACTTGGTTCCACCAGCTCCATTTTTGTACCGCTGATCTGCTCACCCTCCGTCCAGGAGTATGTAGGAGTGCGCGCCGCACTGCCATTCACAAACAGGCATGTGCCAACGTTGTGATGAAGCTTACTTACTTCGAAACTGCTTAGGTATTGAGGTACCTGTTGTTTTAGCAGAATCTAGGAACCCCCCAAATGGAAGACCACAATGTTGGCACATGCCAGTTGCAAAAACCCAAGCACGGTGAATAAGACAACCGCGACGGCTGCGGCCTGGCTTTGGGTTTGTCATGGTCTCCTCACCACCTCTCGAAAATGGACGGTCCTGGAGACGTAAGCACGTAATGGTGGATTGGAAACGAACGAGACCGCCCACATTTTGTATTACACTCCAATGCTGCGGAGGTTGAGCCTTTAATCTTGTCTAGGCAGACAGTCCTTGCCGTGAGGCCCAAACTTTTCCTATGTGATGGGTGGTGGGGGTACCTATGCGTGTTGGGACTCTGCGAGAGACGTGGGACGTCCTTGCGGAGCGATCACTCGAGGAGCGGGTGCTGACCCCAGCAGCCTACTATCGAACACTGATGAAAAGATATTTGTGTCAATATGTTCAAGATGTGTGGTAGTGCTGAATGTCATGGTGCTAGTCGCAAGAAGCGTGATTATCTCAGTAGCAGCAGTGGGATGGAGGAGGAATATTCGTGGAGCTCCTCAGCGCCATCAGTCCAGCCGCATTGTTTGGAGCAGTAGTAGCAGTACCACTAGTAGAACAGTGCCGATCTCCGGACCTCAAGACTGGGCTGAGTTTTGTGGCACATGCCGGATTATGTGACAGGCCTATATGGATTTGCATTGGGATTAGAGGGGTGGGTACATGAGGCTTTTGCATGCGTCATAGGAGGTATGAATTATGGACATTTGACTCTAGCCGTCGTGTTGTTCAAAGGATAACCTATTCACTAAAACCGACATCGTTGTCGTAAAGCCTTATAACTTGGAAAACAGAAAAACACTCACCAACTTCCAAGGGCCATTAGCCCACAAGAACTGAAGGCCGTACATCACATAGCAATGCGTTGGGGTAATAGGTTTCAAGGTGAACTTCTCCGAAGCAGGGTCTTCCTTGCGGAGATCTGATACTGTGTAAGGGGTACATGGCCGTTTGGAGCTCACCCTAAACCCTAAACCCTCAACCCTAAACCCCTAAACCGAAAACATCCCTCCCATGTGCAGCAGACTGTTGAGGGGCCTGCATTGGGTCCTCATGCCCTCACGTGCAGCTAAAGGAGAATGCAGGGAGCTGGACACAGAGTGCTTGAGAGAAAAAGCAGCGCAGCTTCCTGGACCAACAGTAGGATTACAACTGGTTGTTGAGATTTCAAAGAAGTGTAGGGTTTAGGGTTCTTAGATTAGGGTGTTTGAAGCAAAGTAAGTGGAGCAACTCTTTTTGCGGCATCCCTCAATATCACATTGCTTTGGCGTCCATGCCCTTCCCGCTGTCCTGGTGTGAGGAGGCATCCGGAAGGAAAGTTATGAGGTCTGAACAGTCTGAACAGTCTGAACATCTTTATAAATGCTCTAGACCCCACATCCCCAAGCCTTACATCTCCAAACCTGAAACCCCAAATACCTTATCTCTGAACCCCGGATCCCTACGCGCAAAACCCTACCTGGGACGGTCAAATCACCCCGCGCCTCTTCGTTAGGGTTTAGGGTTTAGGGTTTAGAATTGGTGGGCCACTTTAATTTTGTCCTTCTCATAAAAAGCCTTCACCAATAACCGGAGGAAAATTACCGATAACGGCTTTTCTAGAGTAAGCCGCTGTCAGAGGAAATGTACCGATAACAATGTTAAGGATACTAAGCTTGGGAACGCTTTTGCTTTTTTTACTGGCCCACCTTAAAGCTTTAAACCTCACGCTTTAGGTCCTGCAGCTGCAGGGGCTCAAGCGGATCTGTTTTGTGCCGCGCCTGCTGGGACGGTCCAATGCAGACCCTTGACTTATTCCACGATGGAGCTATGCTTTCAAAAGGGGCTCAAGGGGTGATACAGGGGTATGTGGGGATCACGGGGTTTGATTTGGGTTTAGGGTTTGGGGATCTGGGTTTGGCCATTGCTTCAGGAAAGTCCTTAGAG